CAAGAGTATTCTGGCTATCTCAAAAGGAACACATATACTGTTTCCTCTTTTTAAGTCTATTTGGGGAATAGGTGGGTGAATAGCCTTTCTCTACTCTGATAAGCTATAAAGCAAAATAAATATAAATTTTGGTTTGTGGCAGTGGTAGTGAGGAAAGGAATATTTTGGTTACAAATTTCAAATACTGAGCCTTAGTCTACAAATGTATTTAAGATTAACTATCAACTTTCTAAGAGTCAACAAAGAGTGATAAGTTTATCACTGTATTAATACTGAATCACTGTATCAATGACACAATATATTCTTTTTACACCATTTCTGGTTGATTTATGGTTAACATCACTCATGACCAAACTTAGATATAAAATCCACTGTATTATTAATAATAACAATCATCATGTACTTCCCCACCAGAATGTAAGTTCCATGAGAATCAGTATTAGTGTTTCATTCTGATTTTTGCCTGACTTGCAGTAGGCTCTCAATACAAACACTGATAAGCAAATAAATTAACAAACTCTGTAAGAGGAAAACTTAGCAAGAAAAAAATATATAAAACTGCAACAACTTCTCAAAAAGTAAACAAAAGAGATTTCAGAAAGATTCACTTGGCCACCAAAGTTAACTACAGAAACAATGAGTCTTAACATTACAACATTCTTTTTCAACAAAGTGCTTCTTCCTTTTTCATTTTGCTCTTTTATCCTGAAATCTGTCAACAGGTTATTCTTTGTTTCCTCAGACGCTTTATGCATGGGATATCTACAACAATTCCTCTGTTAATTTTTCTAGAAACACTAAGCAAATGTTCAAAGAGATCAGATCATGTTTACTATCATAAGATCATAAAAAGGCCATCAGCAGATATACAGATTAGGTTCTTAGAAATTAGTATTAGTATTACTTTATGACCCAAACCCAAAAACAATCCCAAGAATTCATATTTTCTTTCAACGTTTTCATTTTCTTTCTACACAGCTGCTCTCAGAATTCACTTCAAAATATCAAATCTCAAGTTTACCAAAACAGTAATTTCTAGCAACCCTACATTGAATCAAAACATTCTCTTTACTTGTGCTTTTATTAAATATTGTTTTCTACACTGCTCCTCTACAATCTAAATAAAAAGTACTAAAATGTTAATTCAAATGTCGAGGATGAAGGACCTTGCTTACCTAGACCTTTTTCCTCACATCTTTACTGTGTTTACAATTTAATTCACTTCAAATGTCTATGCTAGGTCCAAACTTACTAAATTAAAATTAATTGCATCAAACTCAAATCATTTATACCCTTTTCCTATTTACTGAAAAGATACTAAAACATTTTAAAACAATTTTACTTATGAAGCCAAAACTATTATTATTTGATATATCACCAACCATTTAGCTTGTTTCAGAAACAAAAAAGCACCAGTCTATATATACCAACCAGGTTCTCTCCATACATCTTTCCTTTAAATTCACAAAAGTGAAAAAGCTAATTAAAAAACTACAAGAAAATTATGGATTTAATAAACAGATTAACTTACTGAAAAAGTCTTTAAAGACGTGTAACCAATCCATTTTGAATTAAAAAACCCGTGTTGTTTTTTGTCAGTTCAACACAGCTCAGGGTAATTCTGCAAGCGCCCTCATCTGTTCTGCAACACTGAAACTCCCCACGCCCGATACATGTGAGTTGGCCCACACCCAGTCAATACAAAGTTTTTCGGAGGCCTTGCTCTTTCAAAAACTTTTTCCTCCTTAACTAGAACAGAGCCTATAAAATAAATTTATCACAATGGCCACAAATGTGACCTTTTTATTCAGATGTATTTTGGAAGAAGCTTTAAAGCATACATATTTTTTGGTAGTTGAAATCATTAATTTATGTATTTTCTCCCTTTCTTTCTTAACTTTCAAAATTTCCATCAGCACAATCATAAATTTGGTAACTTACCAAAAAGGGGTTCAGAAATCTGAGATAGAAGAGAAGGCTGTCTGACGTAAAAGCTGGATTCCCATCACTATACAGGGTAACTACAGATCACTAACTTCGAATGTTTTCAATTACTTTGGAATACAAGTAGTAATCACTGTAATATAGTAATAAAGTTAACAGGCACACCCTAGGACTTAAAATAAAATCTTGCTAAAATCATCTCAACGACTTCAGAAAATTGTATAACAGGTTCCCCAGGAGTACTAACAAATAATAAATGTATCTAATTGGATTTTTTATGTTTACATGCAGTGATATCTAACACTGGAGTATTTATTTTCCTCTTTGCTCTATGATATTAATTTTTTCACTATCTTATGTTAATTACAGCCACATCTACTCTAGTTGCAGGACACAAGTATCCTTTTAAAAGGGAACAAAGAAGTCTAGGCGTAGCTGTAGTCTTTTTTTGTGCCTTTATCACTATGAGACACATTTTGATAGAAGTTACCTTAATTTTTCCCCAACAGTTCTAATCAACATACACTAAATAAATGTCTGGTATTTAAAAAAACAGAGGTATTCCTGGTTCTAACTCTATTCTCTCTTCTTCAGCTATTCAAGGAAAATCTCTTTCTAACTTGTTTTCCACTTAAAAACTAGTATTAAAAACTAACAATGGTCTTATTTGGAAAACCTTTAAATCTGGAAACAAGAGAACCTCAGATACAGTTGTTAAATTTCATGGTGAAAATTCAGATTAATAACTCCATTTATATTACCTTTAGAGTACTGGAAATGTTTTTAGCTCAGAAACTAATATTCTAAAACTTTGTATCTTACTTTGATTTGTACTATGTTTTAGTTTTTTCTGCTTTATAATGTTAAAAACTTAAGATTTATCTTCTATTGCTGCTAATTGAAAGAACACTCTAGAATAATAATGTTGAGTAAGAAAAACTAAGAAGCTAGTCAATATTTATATTGACTAACCATATTGACTAATCAATCATAATCAGTCACGCCACATTACTAATCATAATCAATCATGCCACATTACTCCCAACCAACTTTGCAAGAAGAAATTTTACTTTTTCTTCTACATATGAACAATGAATCATTAGCCAACAAGAGAGCTTAATTGTAAGAAAAAGAAAGAAAGAAAAGAAGCCAGTCCTCATCTGTACACATTTCCTTCCTATCAGCTCAGCCAAGCCCAGAGTGAAGCAGGTTCCACATCTCTGGCCTTAATGGAGGGCCAGTAAAAACAAACTTTCCAGTTAGACAAAAAAAAAGGAGGAAAAAAAGAGACACAAAATAGTAAAGAGATCACTTTTGTAGATGCTAATCCACAGTAATGATCTACAATTTAAAATGATGAACTGTTTTTAAAAGCAGAGTTCAAAATATAAGCCACTAGATGTTACAATACAACAACGTGTCATGTTAAATAAGTTGCCTTAATGCCAAGGAGGCAATTCTGCACCTCACTCATTTATCCCTGTCTCAATTAGATGCAGAATTTGCCTAAACTCCAACAGGCACTCATGGCTCAAAGAGTCCTGGCTAAAAAGATCACAGTCAGTTCTGCTCATCAGCACCACTCTGGCTTTACCCTTAACTTGGACTAGATCTACTAGGTAGAGTTACAGAAACTACCCACTGACACTTAATGGTCTCATGATGAACACCTGCTGTAAGTCAAACTTAACCTGTTCTAGCTGAAATTCCAGTTCTGGCTTTTTCTTGTCAATCTGTCCTTTGCTGCTAAAATTCTGTATAAAGAACCAAGCTCTAGCATCCATTTAAAATAAAGTACTGTTGTAGTACAAAAGTAACTTACCTAAGGTATCCTTTAGGTTTTTCACAATAGATGCTTTCCGTGCACTGTTTTTCCTTTCCACATAGTTAGAAGGCACAAAACCTGTTTTATTCATGGAATTTCGAACTCGCCACCAGGACTTAGAATCATCCAGAAGCCATAACCTCTCATTCTTCTTGATGTCCAGCTCTTGTTCTTGTTGGGCCACATAATCAAATTTGGCTACTACCACCACCTCTTCTGCCATCTTTCAGCAACGTCAGCACTATAACCACACAGAAAATATTTTTTATAAAATAAGTAGTAGTCATTTACATGCTTTTCAAAAAAAATAAACTCAAAACCTAAGAGAGCCTAGAAGGTTGAAAGTAAAAATACGAAGAAGAAAAAATAAAAATCACCAGTCAAATACTAAACAAAACTGGTGTAGCCATATTACTAACACACAGAAGGAATTTAAGTCAAAACCATTACTAGTAATAAAGAAAGAAGTTCCCTACACAAGAATAAACGGTTTTATTCAGTACACTTAATAAGTAAAAGGTTTTATTCAATATACATAACATAGCTCCAAAATACATTGACAGAATAACATTTTTAACCTATTTATCTCAGTAATAAAAACAAGGAAATAAAAGAAATAGTAAGGCTAGAGAAGAACTGACATCACAACCATTAAGTCTGATCTAATAAATATATACAAATAGTGCTTCCCAACAGAGGAGTGTACAAATGGAACATAAGCAAAAATCAATCAAATGCCAGGACAGAGACTCAACAACTTTCCTATACTTGGTACCCTACAATCAGTCATATTCTCTGATAACTGCAACAAGAAGACAGCCTTTTAAAAACCTCCTATGTTTGGAAACTTTAAAAAAGTCATGAGTCAAAGAAGAATCATAATTCAATGTTGAAAATATTTAGAAGTAAAATACTTAAAAGACTATGTAGCCAACCTTGTGGGATGCAGCAAAAAGAGTATAGAGAGGGGAGATTCTTCACTGTAAATAGTTACATCAGAAAAATAAGAATAGCTAAAAATAATGAACTGAGCATCTGATCTCTTAAGCAGTTAGAAAAGTAAAATATAAAGAAAATTAGAAAAAAGGGAACAATACAAATAAAAGCAGAATTTAATGAAACAGAAAACATAAATATAGAAGAAAAGCTTCAACAGAACAAAAAGGTAATTTTTTTGTCATGACTAACATGATGGACACAATTCTGACAAGATGATCAATGAAAAAGGGAAAAAGCACACCTGAGTATCTCAAATGAATAGGAAGTCATGTTTATGGATGCTGTAGACATTCAAAAGATATGGCAGTATTACCAACAACTTTAACAATAAATCTGAAAACCAGAAAAATGTATAAATTCATGGAAAAATTAAAATAATGAAATAAAATGGAATCTGTCATAAAGCAATCATCCCATAATGAAAACACCAGAGCCAGATGGCTTTACAGGCAAATATAAGGAACAAATATTTCAATTTATACAAACTCTTTTCGAACAAAGAAATAAAAATCACAAGCCTAACTCCCGAACCTAGATTAGTTCTCTGTTTTCTTCAGAGCTTATTTTACATCATCAGCTACCCCTGGTTTCCCAAGCAAGTAAATTCAGCTTTTGGTTTTGGATACTGAATACCATTCTTTTTTCAGCAACAAAGTAAGTTCTTCAGTATTCTCAAAGAAATGCATTTTAATCTAGAATCCAACATCTACTAGCATTCAAGTATAGATACTTTTGTAGATACAAAGCAGATACTTTTTTTTGGTGGGGGGTGGGGGGTGGGAGGTGGCACTGGAAGGCCTCAAAACCTACCATACATTCTTCTGAAAGAATGAATCCGGTATACACAGCAGCAAAGTAACAAATAATGCTAAATAAGGAGGATGACATATTCAACAATGATGAACAGATAGAAAACAGAAAAATTAATTTGTATTCCTGTAAGATTTCTCTGTTGAAATTACTTCCAAATAAAAAGTTATAACCAACTCTAAATAATTACTGGTATATGATGCAAAAAATTACAATAAGTGATAGGTTTCTAAGACAGTAGAGAGCAGAGAGAATTTCTCAGGTATACCTGGTCACTGACTGGTTCCTGCCCTGTGAGAATCTGCCTCACCCTCCCGTAAATCAGTACATTTAATGAAATTTAATCCTAGGTCCCACCCAATGGAATTTACTCTGAAATCTGACCAACTGATTTTTAAAAATTATCTAAAAGAGTAAACATATGACTGCCAAATACTTTGGAAACAATAAGAGTTGGTATAATGACACTGTTAGGCTGTATACTCTGCATTTTCTCTTTCCTAAACAATATCCCAAGTACCCTTCTAGTTGTCACCTCACTATTATTATTTTAGCCTTGCAAGTTGGAGGACTGACTAGCTTCAGTACTGTATTTCAATTTATCAGAATCACTTACAGAGCTACATACAGAATTACGTACAGAGCTATTTAAAAAATACAGGAGATAGGGCTTCTACTTCAGAGACTAATCAATCTGGAATGTCACTCAAGTAGTATTTTTAAAAGCTACCTAAGTGTTTATAATGTACAGCCAGGATTGAGAACTCACTTAAGGCAGTCATGACAATCTCTCCCTTGCTAGGTTTACCGATGCTAACCAACTTAAGGCAAAGGGGATGCAAGGAAAACTGTACTACAGGCTTTAGTGAAAAGCTGATTGGCTCCTGAGAAGCACAGTAGAAGACTATCTCTGTATTTTGTCATGGACAGATGTGAGGTCTGGAACTCCTGCAGCCATCTTGTCACCAGCTGCAAAATGAAGCTAACAAACAATGAAAGGAGGGCTGTTGGGAAATAGAGCTAGAGCTGCTAAAATAATCACTGAAAACTGACCTCTAAAGCTCCAGTTCACTGAGCTAATAAATTTCTTTATAATATTAAGACAGTTTTAGTTGGGTTTTCTGTTTACAGCTGAAAGTTTCATAATGAGTTATATGAAATACATATTTGATCATTCATATGATTAATATTTCCCAGGTACATTTGGTCTTCATCCACAATTCCTGAAAACATGCAGCTTTAAAGGTGAAAGAGGTGTTTTGTCATGTTAACAAGAACTTTGGACCCCCACCGAAGGTCAGGGGCTAGAGGCTGAATCAGCCAATTGCCAATAATTTAATCATGACTATGCAATGGAGCCCTCACAAAACCAGTGAGAAGAGTGCTCCCTTTTGCTCTCTGCTCTGCCTGCTCTGCTCAGTTGGATCCTGTTTCTTGGTCAGAGAGAGCTTCTATGCTTGGTGAACCAGAACACCTGCACATGCCACCAAGCTCCACTAGAATAGAAGCTAACTTATTTGGGAGCTTGCCCTATGTTTCTCCTCATCTGGCTGTTAACTTGTATCCTTTATAAAACTGGTACACCCAAGTGTTTTCCTGAGTTCTGTGAGCCCTCTAGCAAATTAATCCAACCTAAGGGGAGGTTGTGGGAACCTCCAATCTGTAGCCAGTAGGTCAGAAGCACAGGGAACTGCTGGGGCTTGAGACTGGCATCTGGATTAGGTGGAGGAGGGCAGTCTTGTAGGTTGGAGCCCTTAACCTGGGAATCTGGTGCTGTCTCCAGGCAGATAGCATCAGAATTGAGTTGAGTTCTCCAACACCCTGCTGGTGTTCAAGAATTGCTTGGTCTAAGTATGTGTGGGAAGACCCCCTCCCACATATTCACACACATTTGAATAGGATCTGGGCACCTGAATGAAGTTATACTACTATTATTGCTGTGCATAATATTGTTACTGTTACATATATACGTAGGGAAAAAGTACACCATCACATTTGGTGTCAGAGATGTTACACATGCCTATCAGATATCAAAATATACTAAAATATTAGAGCAATTTAAAATAACATGATATTTTAAACAGACTAGTACAATATAGCTAAGGTCCAGAAACAATATACCCACGTAACAGGTGGCTTTAGAGGTCTTCTTCCCTAATGTACCAGCTGTGAGTTCTAATTTAAGTCTTTTTAAAGTAGATGGAGTACCTCAAAGCACTTAAAACAAAATGGATATTTGTGTACTTTCCCCCCGAATATTTACAGTGATCTCCCCAGACCCAATTCAAAACAAAGTAATTTTTTAAAAACTTTATTTAAAAATTTTGGTCAGTTTCATTTTTGTTTTCTTAACAAGTCTACTGTTTAATCTCTCAGGATTAAAAAAAACAATTATGAAGATTCTAAAGAATTAAACAACAAAGGAACGTCAAGGGATGGGCATAACTGCCCCATTCTCTGGGGTATAATTAGCAGTATTACCAACAACTTTAACAATAAATCTGAAAACCAGAAAAATGTATAAATTCATGGAAAAATTAAAATAATGAAATAAAATGGAATCTGTCATAAAGCAATCATCCCATAATGAAAACACCAGAGCCAGATGGCTTTACAGGCAAATATAAGGAACAAATATTTCAATTTATACAAACTCTTTTCGAACAAAGAAATAAAAATCACAAGCCTAACTCCCGAACCTAGATTAGTTCTCTGTTTTCTTCAGAGCTTATTTTACATCATCAGCTACCCCTGGTTTCCCAAGCAAGTAAATTCAGCTTTTGGTTTTGGATACTGAATACCATTCTTTTTTCAGCAACAAAGTAAGTTCTTCAGTATTCTCAAAGAAATGCATTTTAATCTAGAATCCAACATCTACTAGCATTCAAGTATAGATACTTTTGTAGATACAAAGCAGATACTTTTTTTTGGTGGGGGGTGGGGGGTGGGAGGTGGCACTGGAAGGCCTCAAAACCTACCATACATTCTTCTGAAAGAATGAATCCGGTATACACAGCAGCAAAGTAACAAATAATGCTAAATAAGGAGGATGACATATTCAACAATGATGAACAGATAGAAAACAGAAAAATTAATTTGTATTCCTGTAAGATTTCTCTGTTGAAATTACTTCCAAATAAAAAGTTATAACCAACTCTAAATAATTACTGGTATATGATGCAAAAAATTACAATAAGTGATAGGTTTCTAAGACAGTAGAGAGCAGAGAGAATTTCTCAGGTATACCTGGTCACTGACTGGTTCCTGCCCTGTGAGAATCTGCCTCACCCTCCCGTAAATCAGTACATTTAATGAAATTTAATCCTAGGTCCCACCCAATGGAATTTACTCTGAAATCTGACCAACTGATTTTTAAAAATTATCTAAAAGAGTAAACATATGACTGCCAAATACTTTGGAAACAATAAGAGT